GAGCCCTTTAGAGTACTACCCAAATCATTACTCAAAGATGTAGCAGATTTATTATGTAAGTAGGCTTGCCGGGCGGCGGTGGCGTACGCCTTTAATCCCAGCACATGGGAGGCAGAGCCAGGGAGATCTCTGTGAGTTCGAGGCCAGCCCCGTTTACAGAGCAAGATCCAGGACAGGCACCAAAACTACACAGAGACCCTGTCTCGAAAAACGAAAAAAAAAAAAAAAAAAGAAAAAGAAAAAAATATTTTCATGGGCTGAAGAGACAGCTTAGAGGTAGAGATAGCTTAGAGGTTAAGTACACTGGCTGCTCTTCCAGAGGTCCTGCGCTCCATTCCCAGCAACCACATGGTAGCTCACAACCATCTATGAGATGATGTCCTCTTCTGTCATGCAAGCATTCATGCAGACAGACACTGTATACATAATAAATAAATAAATCTTTTAAAAAATAGTAAGTAGGCTGCCTGAGCTACATATACCAAGACCCTGTCTCAACTCACACTTTAGGGCTGGAAAAATAGTTGTGATAGTATTTGCTTGCTACCATGTCCAAGGCACCTGTTAATACTGCAAACAAAAGACCATTTTAGGATGCCAAATAGAAAATGCCCAGAGGGTACAATCTGGTAATACTTTCCTTGCAAAGGCATAGGCTAAAAGTGGGGGAGGGCCCTACTTAATGAAAATTAAGAAACCGAGTTGTCTACAGAAAATCAAGGGACCCCCATGAATCCTAACAATAACTTTCTGGAACGGCATGGTGGGAAAACCTAAATATAGCACATTAAAAAATGGCCAGGCCACAGTGGCGCATGTCTTTAATCCCAGCACTGGGTAGGCAGAGGCAGAGTTTGAGGCCAGCCTGGACTAGAGTTCCAGGACAGGGCTACAGAAAAACCCTGTCTTTGGAGGGAGAAAAAAGTGGTCAACAGCAGAGAACTTACCTAGCATGTTTAAGCCTGAGATCTGGATGCTCCCTAAGCATCACAAAACCCTAAAAACTCAAGTATTCAGTCTGGAAGCTCACCAACTGTTGCAGTCTCTGACCCTCAGCACTGCCTGAGAACTTAGAACTACTTGGACCAAAGACTTGAGGATGAAACCCAACAAACCAAATGGCTTAAGAACCATCCAAAACTAGCCTATAGAAACACGTCTGCCATAAATCAGTGAAGGGGAAGATGAACAGGAAGCTCACTTACACAACTTAGGTAAAACAGCTCTCTGAACAGGTGAAGATAGGTTTCTTCTGTATCCCCAGAATCTAATCAATATGTATATGCATAATTCAGCTATCATTTGGCTTAAAGGGGCTTATTGGGAAATGTTATCATTTATATTATTTTCTACAGAGAAAATATTTTACTGTTTAAAATAACCCTGGACTTGTGAATTACAACCTATTTTTATGTTAAAAAAAAAGTCCAAAAAATTAAGGCAAGGTCTCCAGCTTGTCATGAGATGTCCTCCACCAAATAGAGCAAATAACCCACACCCAGCAAATGCTAAGGAGTAACACTGCCATGCTACAAAAGCCTACCTACATAAGCCTTTAAAAACAGATAAAAGAAACACTGCTGTGGGATGTCTTTCTGTGTGCTGTGAATGTGTTGCTGATTGGTTGATAAAAAAGCTGTTTGGAGCCGGGTGGTGGTGGCGCACGCCTTTAATCCCAGCACTCGGGAGGCAGAGGCAGGTGGATCTCTGTGAGTTCAAGGCCAGCCTGGTCTACAGAGTGAATTCCAGGAAAGGCGCAAAGCTACACAGAGAAACCCTGTCTCGAAAAACCAAAAAAAAAAAAAAAAACCAAACAAACAAACAAGCTGTTTGGCCAATGGCAGGGCAGAATAAGGTTATGAGGTACGTTCAAACTGAAGAGAAGAAAAGGGTAAGAGACATGAGCCCGCCACTGAAGGAGCAACAAGATGTCAGCAGACCAGTAAAGCCAGACATGTGCCAACATAGACTACCAAGAAGATTGGGCCATAGACCATACAGTTCGTAATTAATATTAGTATTAAGCCTCTGAGTGATTATTTTATAATTGGCTATGGGAGCAAGGGTGGGAGAGATCAAACTGCAGGGCAAGGCAGGACCAGAGAACTTTCTGTCTACAAAACACCCTTGGAGTTTACTGGTTTCTTTTCATTTGCCTGATATGGTGGAGCACATGCCTTTAAATCAGAGGCAGCCAAATCTATTGGAGGCCAGAGATATACAGTAAGACCCTGTCTCATTACTTTTCCAGATCACTAAAATACATAACACCTTCTAACAACTTAATGGATTAAAAACCCATACAAAAGGTCACAAGTTCAGCAGGTCACATTAAATAATGCCTGATTCACCAAGCTTTCATATTTTAAAACAATGTTCAGAAGCAAACCATCATCACAAATAAGACTTTTATTTGTCACTATTAAAAATCTGGATTTCAAACAGATTCTTGGACTGGTGGTTCATATCCATCCGCTCGTTCAACTTTAGCACCTGTCTCATCACCGGTAGCTTTTCCAGAACTACCACCTTCACCATGGAGCTCCATGAGTTTTCCCACTAAAAGGAAAAAAAAAGAATCTTTTATAAATAAGTATCATAACTAAAACAATGCGCTTCCACAGTACAAATACACAAGAAAACAGACCATTATCTTGCTCTAAAATTTTACATGCAATGCTGGGTGGTGGTGGTACACACCTTTAATCCCAGCAGAGGCCAGCCTAGCCTACAGAGTACCAAGACAGGGCTACACAGCGAAACCTTGTCTCAAAAAAATTCCATGTACAGAGCTGAAGAGTTGGCTCAGTGGTTAAGAGCACTTGCTCTTGCAGAGGAACTGGGTTCAGTTCCCAACACCCATAGTTAGCTTGCAACCATCTGTTAACTCCAGTCCCAGGGGAACTGAAGCCCTCTTCTGGACACAAAGTCACCAGGAATATACATGGTGCCTATATATGCATACAGGCAAAATACTATCAATCTATGAAGTTTTAAACAGTCATTTAAAAAAACGATGTATCTGTGAATCCTCATTTTTCACTTACATTCAAACTTGGGTTTCTTCAGCATTTTTACTTTTCTAACGAAGACATCATGAAGAGGATAAATGGACTGGCAAGCCTTTTCTATGTCTTTCCCAATGCTGTCTGGAATCCTGCAAGACCAGTGAACTTTTAAAAAAACAACCAAGCAAACAAGAAATCCACCAAAGTGTAGTTTCTCACATAAGCATTTTTCTTTACATAAAAAAAGAACCTTAGAAAATATCTAATGTGTAACGCAAGCATCCTAATTAAAGATGTTTATATTATCTAGCAACAAAATCAGCGCCCTCCTTTTTTACATAACATCCTCTTAGCCATTTGTATTCTGCATGGGAACATCAGAAAAATGTAACAGTTATCAGTGTATATCAACTGGGACCGAAACATTTTCTCATCATGTATTCCCATACATTATTATGGAAAGTTTTGTCTATTATTTATTGTATATCTAACTTAACACACCAGTGATTTTTAATTAATGTCCAACTCTACGTTGCCACATACATCTTCTCTTACAGAAAGATGGTTCAATAGGCATTCAGGATGTAATTAAAGGAGGAAAAAAAACCCACTTACAATTTATTAACCACTTCCTTCAAGTCATTTGTCTGCACTTCTCGGGTCATGATTTCCATCATCTTCTTCCGGATCTGGCGGACCTGCTGGTGCTGTGCATAAGAGGTCTTGCGTATCTGGTTGTTGCGTTTTTTAGTGAAACCAACACAGAACAGACGGAGCAAATAACCATCAGTTGTCTTGACATCCACATGAGCTTCAATCATGGTCTAGGGAGAAAAGGATACTGTAAGCTCTAACAGTTTGTTTTTTTCTGAGACGGGGTCTCACTACTAGCTCTGGCTAGCCTCCCCTGTTTGTGTGCACCAGCTCTACCAACCTTTGCAGCAGTTTTTAGGGCCTCAACCAATTCTTTAAATGCTAACATAAAGCTTGGAATGTCAAACCCATTATGTGACATAAAGTATAAATATCTAGTTTACACAACTTCCTTAAAATGAAATTAAGGATACCCCAAAATTCATTCTCTAAATGATTACTGTCATCTCACCCTTTACTTCTGTATCTATCAATGCCTCCCTCCCCCCAAAAGAACAACTTTGGAAGTCAAGTTCTAAGACAGCATACACAGGATGAAACCACATGAATTTGTTTTCATCTTTTCAAAAGAAAAAAATAGGTTGTGTGTGGTAGCTTTAATCCCAGCACTCCAAGCAGGAGGCAGAAAAGATTGGATCTCTAATAAGAGTTTGAGTCCACAGTGGTCTACTTAGCAAGTTCCATCCCAGTCAGGGACATATAGTAAGACCCTGTCTCGGAGGAAAAAAAACAAACAAAAAAAAAAACCCAATGACAAAATAGGCGAGATACAATGACACATTATCTACAATCCTTCACTCAGGATACAAAGGCAATTTATAAGTTCAAGGCCAGCTTGGTCTACATAGCAAGCACCACACCATAACAGGCTGGAGATCCTTTCTCCAAAGGAAAAAGGTAAAACTTCTGCTGTAAGAGCATTTTTAATTCTTTTTATTCCAAACTAAAGCCATGCCAAGGACTTAAATACATAATCCCACAGCTAGCTCCATATTAAAATTAAAAATCATAATTGGGACCATATTTCCATCTTTTAAAGGGTCACTTTAGTGGCAAAATGATTTGATCTCTGCATTTTATAAATTATATACCTTGAGTTTTAAAACATACCTAGTATCTGCCATGAGTGGTGGCACACACCTTCAATCCCAGCACTCAGGAGGCAGAAGCAGGTTCTTTGTGAGTTTGAGGCCAGCCTGGGCAGCAAAGTTAGACCCTGTCTGAAAAAATAAAATAAAATCTCAAAAAAAAAAAAAAAAATCTTGACTTCCACTGCAAAAAGAATGAAGAATGTACCAATATTTATTAAACAACTTATTACTTCCAGAACTGTAAGGGAATGTCAGAAAAACATGTAACGGTAAAATCAGTATGTTTCATTTGGGACCGAAACATTTTGTCATCATTCATTCCCATATACAATTTGCCAATACTGTTACCTGGACACATCTGAATGGTCATTTCCTGAATCGATATGGTTATTGATTTCTGTTAGTCAATCACCTGCATCAGTTATCTCATCTTCACAGCTCAATGAGCTTTTACAATAAAGAAATCAAGCTGCTAAGTAAGCTTGTTACTGACCAAGGACAAAATAAATGGGGACTGAATGATATTAGCCCCACACCAGAAACTCTACACTGTTATTCTTCACCATCAGAGACAATCAAATTAGCTAGAGCCACCTCTTCACTATAAACTCAAATGATGGCAGCCCTAAAATATTCTCTGAACTGGCAAAGCTGCTCCCTACCCATGTGTCCTTTAACAAGTAAATATTGGGCCAGGGGATGTAGCTCAGTATGTGGAAAGCCATAGTTCTACCCCCAGCACCCAAGGATACACAGCATCTTGGCCACAATTTAAAACTTTGTCAGCCACAAGGGCAGGAGAGGAAGAACTCAGACAAGTGGGCGAAAAACATTATTTGATCAGCTCTGCTTGCAGTTTTCATCTAGTAGCTAGCTCAACAATAATATAAACAGCATGGGAAAAATAAAAACTGTTCATTCTTGGAGTTTAAGAAAAAATTGTCATGACTTACTTCACTGACATATAATAAACACAGGAGGACCCAACTCTGGGCTGGTGCTTAATACCAAGAAAACAATCCAAGGCTTGAAATGAAATCCAACTCTCCATTCCATGTTTTGATCCTTCCAATCACACCACACGCACTACATGCTCAAATGCAGTCTGGGGTCTCACCTGCCACTTTTTGACCATGGAACACATTTTGTCCCGGGTAAGATCCATGCCATGGAAGTTAGTCAGACAGTTTTTGCCCTGAACATCCTCAGTAATTAGCTTGAATTTTCTAAACGCAACTTCGTCATTCTGTAGATCAGCAAGGCTCACTTCAAACACACGACCCTTGAGGCCATCAGATGCAATTTCTACAAAAGAACCAAAGATCCTGTTAACTTGTTATAAAAAAAATCCACCTAGACACCAGTGACTTACTGGCAATACCCAACCAATCATTTCTTGGTTAATTCTAAAAGCACCTCCTTGCTGCCACAAATGTACGAAAAACTAGCACCCCACATGCCAAGCCTGAAACCACTGGGCTTATTTTCCCATCCTAGGACACATGCAGCATCACAGGACACATGCAGCAGGTTGAGGACCAAGCAAAACAATTATACAGTACTCACTGGTTCCTTGAGTCCTCGTGACTAGTGTCTTTCCAATGTTTCTAATATTGAACATAGCCGGAGCTTTCACATCATACCAATCTTTCTTCGAAAATGGATCAACCCTGGATTTGAGAAAAACAGGCAAGCTCAAGCTTCTTGGTGAATCCTAAGATTACTACTGCCAACTTTAAACGTCCCTTATCCTCAATACTTCTGCCGACATAATGTCCCAGGTAGAATCTTAGATCGGCTTGCATTTAATACAGAATGACGCCCCTCGCCGTGAGGGGAGCTGGCTTGTCTGTCACCGGGACAAACCGGTTAAGTTGGAAGCCATGCCTTCTCCACTCCACAGGCAGGAGCACATACTTCCTCGGAACCTGAAGCTCTCGTGATGTTAACCAGTCCCTAACCGGACCAAGTGGTAAGCAAGTGTCAGGAGCTCCCAGGCTCCATGAGGTCCCAGCACGGGAGTGACGTGGGGTCCCCCATGCAGATGGACCACCAGGGTGACTGCCGAGCGTCCAGATGCAGGAGAGGCACTAAAAGTGCCGCGGGCTTCAAGCCACCCAGGAGCCCACCGTGCGCCAACACGCGAGCACGCAGTCTTCGCGACGGAAGCCCGGCTCACACCCGGCCGTGGCGGGGAGAGGCAGGCAGGCGGCCGTCCGTCCGGAGCGCACCGGCCAGCGACGTCGCCGCGCAATCCGCCCCGCATCGTCCCCATCCGCTCCCCGCTGCAGCCGAGAACCTGCCCACCAACTCCTGCGGGACCCAGAGACCGGCGCTCCGCAAAATCCACCACTTACACTTTCTTCTTGGCTCCCTTCTTGCCGCCTTTCGTCAGGCGCTTGTTCTTGCCGACCGCCATGGTGCTGCGGAGAGGGCCAAAAGGGCGGAAGTAGAACTCGCGCGAGAACTTACGCGAGCGGGGCGGGGAGCGCTGTCTACGTGACCCTTGCTCTTTCGCCCTTCCGGCTTTCACAATCTCGCGACGCTAAGTCAGCGGCTCACTTCCCCCGCCCCACCCACCGTGTCGCGACAGCGCCCCCGTGTGTCGGGAGGCCGCTCAGCGGGCCGCGGGCTGCCTGGGAGGACAGGAGCGCGCAGGCCCCGCCCTGGTGCACACATCAGGTTTCCTATGGTTTCCGTTGCCCTGAGGGTGGGAAGTTTCCGTACTGGGAGATGCCTACTGAGCCGTCTCCTGTTCTGACATTGAGGGCATGTTTCTTCCCTAGAGCGTTGGCTTCGAATCAGAGACAGCAAATCCATGTTCAAGCGGTGCTTTGAACAGTACTTAGCCCTCCGACCTCTCTGGCCTTGGGTTCCTTCATGTGTAAAATGGGAATAATGATATGATCTACTTCAAAACGTTAGTATCATTAAATAAACATAACGCCGGGCATGCTGCTCCTGTCCTGCGTGTTGATTTGGACTCTGATGAGACTCGCGTATGGTTGTTCTGTGGACAGTCTTAGCCGGGGGTGGTAAGGCATGTCTGCAATCCCAGAGTTCTGGAGGCAGGAGGATAGCAAGTTGGAGGACAGCCTGGAAGTATATGGTGAGTTCCAGACCAGACTGAACTACCTAGCCAGACAGACTGGGCCGGGTGACCGTGGGGGAGTGTATATATTTCTTACCCATCAACGCAAACAAAAAGCATTTCTGATACCAACTCCTGCCCAGTTTGTATACTTCCTATATATCTCTTACACATTCGTAATCACATTTTTATTGCTTTTGTGTGCCTATGTGTGTGCATGTGTGCCCCTCTAGCCTGTGTGTGGAGACCAGAGAATGACTCTCGGGAGTTGTTTCTTTCATCCTGTGGGTACAGGGCCAGAACTCAGGTGGTCAGGCTGAACTCAGGGTCAGGCCTCTTCAGGTTCCTTTACCAGCTGAGCCATCCCACCATTTCACGCCCCCCTGGGGGGGGGGGTGGGATGGGGAAGTGTTTGGGTTTTTTTTAGTAGAATGGGGGACTAGAGTGACTTAGTGATAAAGCCTCAGCATGTCTGCGGCCCTGAGTTCCATCCCCAGCACTTCAAAAAGGCACAATGGAGTTCAATCCTTGGTCCTAACTGCCCACCAATTTTCTCAATGTACAGCCCCCTTCCCCATTTTTATGTTAGTTTTTTCAAGACAAGAGTCTTGCTCCATAGTTTGGGCTGACCTCAAACTCGCTTCTCATGCCTCAGCCTCCTGAGTGCTGACATGCTCCAACACATCCAGTTTAACTGTACCAGCTTAGTAAAGCACGGCCTAGTGGGCGGTCACCTCAAGAGTGTAGCCCTGTGACCTGACCTGTACCGGTTTGGTACTCAGTTAGCAGTGTATTGAGTTCCCTTCTCTGGCCAAAGCCAAACAAACAAACAAAAATAAATAAATAAAATTAAAAAAACAAAAACAAACAAACAAACAAAACACAAAAAACAAACCAGTGACCAAGCCAGAAATCAACTCCCTATTCACCAGGGTCCCAAGAAGTTTTAAATCTTTTTTTTTTCTTCAAAATATATTGGCTCTGATTTGAGAGGAGGGATACTGTCATGTTGCCCTATATTTGGGAAATGACAAAATGTCCCATTTCCAGTCCGACTATAAAGATAACATATACCCAGCTGTCAAGACTAAATACAAGAAAGGCGAAAGCTGTATAGTTAAGGGCACACCATTAACTTTAAAGGAAATCATGGAGCCAGGGGTGATGGCACACCCCTGAAAACCCAGCGTTCAGAAGGCCAAGACAAGATTCTTTGAGGATAGCCTGGGCTACATAATGAGGTCTATCTCTGAAGACCTAGGACTGGAGGTGTTGTTCAGTTACAGTGTATATCTAGAGTGATCAAGGTACTGGGTTCATTCCTCAGCACCATAAAAGAAATTGTGTGTGTGTGTGTGTGTGTGTGTGTGTGTGTGTGTGTGTGTGTGTGTGTGATGGAAAATACCCAAAGAAGTAACAGGGAATATTTGACTAGAACTATTGTTATTTCAAGATGGAGTCTCTATATGTAGCTTAGGCTTCTCCCAGACCCCTGGCTTAAAGGACCCTCCCACCACAGGTTCCCAAGAATCTAGAACTCCAGTCATATTCTTCTGGCATCTAGCTGGAATGTCAAGTTCTTTTCGGCCATCGTTGTCTTTGCCTCCATCTTTAAGGGTGTGTGTGAATCCAATGTACTTGAAATTCCCTCCTTGTCAATAGGGGCCTTTCTCCACAGCTCATTCACTCCCTCTCCTGTAAATGGGTCTCTCATACCATCACAGCTCCTCCATGAAGCAATGCCACTGAATGGACACAAACTTCACAATCTGTACCATTTAACTTCTCAACAGACATTTGATGGGACCCGAAGCCTCACTAATCATGGCATCAAGATGCTCCTCACCTGGACTTTTCCTCCAGCAAGGAAGCCGATCATGCAATCCTTCTCTGTTAGAGAACCTATCTGTGTTCCCATCAGTCATGTTCAAAGCTCTCGAACTCCCCAGTCTGTGACTGGCCATGCCTGGCAAACACATTGGACGTTGTGCTCTGGGAGCTTTCCTTTGCCCTCAGGCTCTACTTGATAGTCCTTAAGTCCCATCACAGCCTTCATAGCCACAGCACAGCTTCTACTCTCCAAGCTTTTAAATCTGAAAATCCCCTCTGGATTTCAGCTCCTACCTCCTTCCGCCCCAGCCTTCTAAATCAGTCTTCCTAAACGTGTAATCCCATCTGCAGTCCTTCAGTCTCTCCACACGTCTCAGCTGTCTGTAGTCTCCTACAGTC